AACCTCATTCTACAAAGAATAACGTCTATTCTGAAATAGATGTTTCGAAATAAGGCATGTATAGACACCCCACTTCTGATATTTCGAAATAGACCCCCACCAGGGCCATACTAAGTTATTCCTCCCGGGAATCTATATTGAAAGAGCACGTCTACATTAGGCAAGTCCTCCTCGGACTCATTTTGAGGCTTCCCTGAAGTGTAGATGTGCTTTTTAAAATAAGCTATTTTGGAATAACTATTCCAGAATAGCTTATTCCAAAATAACTGTGCAATGTAGATATACCCCTAAAGTCTGTCATTTCCTTATGAAAAAAGGAAAGGCGCAAATCCTGTTCCCAAACTGAGGGTCCCAAATATTTCAATACAACAACACAAGGCCTTCATTAAAACAATAAGAGGCATTTACTGACTACAGAAACATTGTAAGTGAATATCAATAATGAGGGGGAAATTGAAAATCCATTACAAAGGAATGAAAGGTAAAATGCAACTCATACCTAAGTTAACAAGCTAAATGAATTGAAAGCAAAGATTTCTCTCATCACCTGCTTTTGCAAACTTACTGGCCAGATGCCTTCCAGCCAGAATCCTTTCCCTTCTTTTCCTTCAGATGTGTTAATGTGATGAGCCGAGAGAAAAGGAGGAAGAGTTTGTTTGGGTCATTTATGTTTGCCTCTTATAGTCCCATTTCTCTTTGTCAAGAATCACCTCCAGCTGAGGATGAGGAGACAAAGTTTGAGGGGACAGAAAACTCCTGCTGTTTGTCAAAATGTAGATTTCTCACTCACATTCTTCTTCCTGCCCAGGAATAGCCCCAGAAGCAGCTGAGAAATAATTTGATTTGATTGACACATGGCTGAGGAATCAGTTTGCCTTTTAAGCTCACATTGACTCAGTAATGTTAAAAAATGTTTTATTTTATGTACAAAGGCTGCCTCACACAAATGATCTGGACAATGATATTCAGCAGATTATGATATTTATATATAGAATAAGGGCTATGTTGCCACTCTTATATATAGGTTTTACACCACTTCTCCTGTCATGTGAAGGAAAGCTTGTCCAGTAGTCTAGCACTCTATAATTTGGGCTTAGTTCCTGGCTCAGCTGCATACCTTTTGTGCCACCATGAAGAGAGATATTTATTTTCTCTGTCCCTCAGTTCTCCATCTGTATAATGGAGATAATACTGCACTAACTAATATGGAAGTTATGACTATCAATGCAATATACATTTTGAAATATTCGAATTTTCTGCATCACGAGGGCTAAATAAGGACCTGCCATTTTTTTTATGAACCCTGTTATAAAACAGGCAAATAAGATTTACAGATGAGGAAAAAAGAAGGCAGAAAGAATGTAAGACCCATATTTTCATACTTGCCCTTAAACACCCTGAATGAATAACTGCTTTTGAAAATACTGCTTCCAGATCATTGGAATGAAAAGAGGCAACTACATATTTTCCAGACTGTCAGATTTTTTTTATATTTCAAACATCCTTATAGGAATATATTTAATTATTCAGTATTGAATGAGAAAAGTAAAAACAAAGTTGCTTAATATGATCATTTTATTTCAATTTGTACTTCTTTTGAATGAAATTACATGACAGCCCAGGAGAGAAATATTTAAACGCCTTTATTGTAATCATCAGCAAATACTGGTGCACCATATAATATCTTTCATATTGCCTATAGAAGTTTAGAACACACAGTCTTGGAGTTTTGAGGGACTACTCCCTCATCCCGTTTGTACCAAGCTATAAGAAAGGGCAATGAAGTTTATAAACTCGATAATCTATTCTCCTTATTTTCAATTAGGTGCAGTAACTAAGAGAAAAAGGAGTCAAGAAATGGGTGAATTTCTCATGGACTAATAATTTATTGTCTAAACAATGATGTTTTGGATCACTTGAAATGATTCACAAATAAGTTACAAAATCCCCTCATAGCTTTGTCCCAAAACCATGTGTGTGTGTGTCTCGGGACGGATTTAGCTGTTGGTCCCCAAACAGACAATAGTCAATAGAACCCCTCTATAGAATCGCTTTTTCTTTCTGGGCCTGTGGTTCTTTCCAGGGGTCATCCAAAAATCAGTCCAACAGGAATGACTGAGGCCATAGTTACACCATGGGCTAATCTGGCACTGGAAATGAAGTGGTAAATTAGCAAATCTGGTGGAGAAATGCCAGGTCAATAGGAGAGCACTTGCCCATCAATGTCTGTACTCCACCTCCCTCAGAGACTGTTTTCCGTCATGGATCTTTCTCAGGGCTGGTCTACACTAATGCTATCGGGAGATGTAAATTACACCACTTCATTTATGTAACAGTGCTGTGGATGCCGCTGTCAATCAAACTCAGTTACATCAATTTGATGTAACATAATGCAGATCACATAACAACAATATCAACGACCAGCCCAGAGAATGATCCAAGACGGAACCTGGGCAGAGCTGTCACCGATTGGACAGAGGGGGATTGACCTGCATCTCCCACATCCCATGTGAGATTGGACAGAGGGGAATTGGTTTACATCTCCCACATCCTATGTGAGTGCTCCAATCACTGCATTGAAACTTACAAGAAAAGCAGCAGCATCACTAACACTTCCAGTCCCATCCATTTTGTCAGTCTAGCCTTTCTGTGTCTTTGCTTTACACTGAAGAATACCCAGGAAGGAAAACACATGCCATTTCTAGCTGTGTAAAAAGATTCTTTTGGTTCTAATGAACGTTATGGGGAATGTTTTCAAGTTGTCAAATATTTAGGAACTATTCTGATGTAAAATGTTTTCTTCCTCCCCAAAGGAAATTTGTTCCACATTTAGGGAACTTTCAGCTGTGGCTCAGGATGAAATGAATATTTCCTAAGCTCCTGTGAACTCCAGAAATTAGCTCTTGGCTCAGTTCTATCCATTTCTCTCTCTCTGTCTCCTGAGCCGTATAATTCCCACAATCCCTGCTCTTCAGAGTCTGTGAATCTTTCCAACCTAACTAAAAGCTAAAGCCATAGTAAACATGCTGATGAGGGACAAAGTGTCATGAGTTATCTGGGTTTTTTTTTAAATGTATGTTGGAGAGAACTATTCCCCCTTTCTGTGCTAGTTTGGGTTCAGTTCAGTGAGGACTCTCAGGGTGTGTCTAGACTACAGGGTTTTGTTGACAAAAGTGGACTTTTGTTGACAAAACTATACCTGCGTCCACACTGCCTTTGAGTTATGTCGACATAACATCGACAGAACTCAGCAGTTTTGTCGACGTATGTAAACCTCATTCTACGAGGAATAACACCTTTTGTCGACAGAGTTCTGTCAATAGAAGGCATTATTGCATCTACACTGTCCTTTGCGTCCACACTGTTATGTCGACAAAGCGGCTTGCTTTGTCAACAGAACTGGCTGCAGTCTAGACGCTCTTTGTTGACAGAAGCTTTGTCGACTGAATCTGTTGACAAAACTTCTGTTGACAAAACCCTGTAGTCTAGACATACCCTTAAAGAGAAAGCAAAGACATGTTGCTGTTTCTTGGAAATGTTCCCCTGGCTCTTCATTTTGTTGTCCCCTTAACATGAAATAAAGACCACAGTGACTGAAAAAGACCCATGAAAAACAATGAATAGTCCTGCAGCCACTTAGAAACTAACAAAAAAATGTAGCTGGTATCACGAGCATTTGAGGGTGCAACTGACTTCTTCAGATGAAGGAGGATCATTGAAATCTCCTTTCTCCTCCTACTGCATAAACCAGGTGACGGTCTCTACCACAACCCCATGGAGCAACAACTGACTTCTTCAGATGAAGGAGGATAACTGAAATCTCCTTTCTCCTCCTAGTGCATAAACCAGGTAACAGTCTCTACCACAACCCCATTGAGCACATGTAGAGCTTCAGGGTAGAGGGAAGATGTGTCAAACTCACACAGTTCATATTTGCAATAACATTATGAAGCCAAACCAGCTACAAAAATAGGGAGCTAGATTTGATGCTGCCTTCATCTTTCCCAGTTCAAACAGCTCCATGCTTCCAAAGCATGTCCCATATATACTCACACATGTCAAACAGGTGCCTCCCTAAATTTTGCTGGAGCAAAAGTCTAATGAAGCCTTATTGGAATAATAACAACAATATAATAATTAACAATACCATGATAGGTTCTGCAGAAATACATTGCAATGGGCTGGCAATTGAATTAACCTCATTCGCTCCCCTGATCACTAAAATAGAACTCAGTGAAATAGATTTACAGATGGCTTAGGTGTTTATTCACTGCTTTCCTCAGGGCATCTTTAACCTCCCTGTTCCTCAGGCTGTAGACAAGGGGGATCAACATGGGGATCATCACTGTGCAGAAATACATTGCAATGGGCTGGCAATTGAATTAACCTCATTCGCTCCCCTGATCACTAAAATAGAACTCAGTGAAATAGATTTACAGATGGCTTAGGTGTTTATTCACTGCTTTCCTCAGGGCATCTTTAACCTCCCTGTTCCTCAGGCTGTAGACAAGGGGGATCAACATGGGGATCATCACTGTGCAGAAATACATTGCAATGGGCTGGCAATTGAATTAACCTCATTCGCTCCCCTGATCACTAAAATAGAACTCAGTGAAATAGATTTACAGATGGCTTAGGTGTTTATTCACTGCTTTCCTCAGGGCATCTTTAACCTCCCTGTTCCTCAGGCTGTAGACAAGGGGGATCAACATGGGGATCATCACTGTGCAGAAATACATTGCAATGGGCTGGCAATTGAATTAACCTCATTCGCTCCCCTGATCACTAAAATAGAACTCAGTGAAATAGATTTACAGATGGCTTAGGTGTTTATTCACTGCTTTCCTCAGGGCATCTTTAACCTCCCTGTTCCTCAGGCTGTAGACAAGGGGGATCAACATGGGGATCATCACTGTGCAGAAATACATTGCAATGGGCTGGCAATTGAATTAACCTCATTCGCTCCCCTGATCACTAAAATAGAACTCAGTGAAATAGATTTACAGATGGCTTAGGTGTTTATTCACTGCTTTCCTCAGGGCATCTTTAACCTCCCTGTTCCTCAGGCTGTAGACAAGGGGGTTCAACATGGGGATCATCACTGTGTAGAACACTGAGGCTATTTTATCTGTAGTCAGGGAATAGCTAGAGGAGGGACGTAAATACAGAAAGAATTGACAGCCATGGAACATGCCCACCGCGCACAAGTGGGAAGCGCAGGTGGAGAAGGTTTTGCGCCGGCCCTCGGCGGAGCTGATCTTCAGGATGGTGGAGACGATACAGACGTAGGAGAGGAGGATTGTCACAAAGCTGGTCGCTACCACGTAGCATATGGAGGCAAACATCGCAATCTCACTGATGCTGGTGTCAGAGCAAGAGAGGGGCAGAAGCGGAGGGACATCACAGCAGAAATGATTGATGATGTTGGAGCTGCAGAATGACAGCTGGAACGTACAACATGTTTGTATCATTGCATCTGCCAACCCCACAGCGCATACCCCAGCCACGAGCTGGTTACAAAGCTGCCTGGACATGGTGATGCTATAGAGCAGCGGGTTACAGATGGCCACATAACGGTCATATGCCATCACAGCCAGCAAGAGACACTCTACATCTGAAAAAGTGACTAGGAGGTATATTTGGACAGTGCAGGCCAGGTGCGAAATGCTTTTCCTCTCTGCTAAGAAATTCTGCAGCATCTTAGGGACGATTGTCGAGGAATAGCAGAGATCACAGAAAGACAAACTCCGGAGGAAAAAGTACATGGGGGTGTGGAGTCGGTGATCAATCGTGATTAAGAAGATCATCCCCCCGTTCCCTACTATGGTGACAACATAAATCAATAGGAAGAGCCAAAACAGGGGGACCTCCAGCTCCAGACGATCAGTCAGTCCTGAGAGAATGAACTCAGTCACCACCGAGTGATTTCCCTCTTCCATCTTCTCTGAGCCGAGATCAGACAGTGACAGGGATGTGGGCAGGTGGATGGCTCAGGCAACTTATCCTTTCCCTGTAATGAAGTAAGTGAAGAAAAGTGGAGATCAGTTTCTTAACAGACACCAGCACCATTTCGGGAGATGCATTACTCCGTAGAGCCAGATGTTCACAGCTCTTCCATTTCCTGTGAGCAGAGATCCAACAGCTACAGGGGCACATTGATGTTCTGTAGTAACGAAGAAAAGGACGAGAGATCAGTTTCTTAATGGACGCTGGTACCAAATCGGGGAAGAGTTAATTCTATGCAGCCAGAGGTTCACGGCTCGTCTTTCCAGTTGTTCCATGCAATGGACACACTGTACAAATACAAGGACATGCAGATGAACACCCTCCCACAAAGAACAAGCCTGTTCACTAATCTGAGCAGCAATCAGTAATTCATCTCACTGCTGTTTCTCATTTCAGAGTGAAACGAGAGCCAATCTTTCTCTCTTTTTGGCATGGGAGCTCTGTGGCTCAACATGTCCGTTCAGGGTAAAGCTTGTGCGCTGTGCTCAGTAAGCTTTTTGGTATCTAATAATGTCATTTACATTAATCTGTATGGAAATCCAAAGACATAAAGCAATGCACTGGCTTCCAGCTGTTTTTCACTGTCAAAGAGGTCGCTCCTTTACCTCAAATGGTAGGGATGAGGTTCTTAGAACTGGAGTTCTTGAACTCAAACCTGATGATCACCATGGTGTGTGTCTGTGTACTGTCTATGTCTGTAGTGCAGGACAACAGCATGGACCTGCTGAGGAGAGACAAATGACGTTGTTTCCTCATCGACAGAAACTGACAGATTAGAGAATTTGGGCGCTTTTATACTGAGATTTGTGATCTATGAGACGTTATCCCATTAGCAACTGGGAATTCTGAGCTCAGAGAGAAACAACATCTAATTATTGTGCCCAGCGACTTGTAGTGTAGCTCATGCTTTGGGGATTAATTCGCCCCCCTCTTTCCTCCTGTGTGATTAAATGATGCAATTTCTTCAGAGATATGGAGTTTGTAGTTTGGGATAATTTATTCCTGCAGTTTTCAGTCCACCCTGGTTTCTGAGTAGAACCTATCAAGAAATTGTTAACTTGGTTTTTTGATGGTGGATATTGAAAGTTCATGACTGAAAACTTGATATTACGATACAAAATTAACACAAAGGCCCTCATATTATCACTCTCCTCTATAGACCAGACTACCACATTACCAAGTGCCAGCCCCCTGCTCCATCAAATAGAACATTTTTGCTTCTGATGGCATGTGAGAAAGCGGTATCCAACCCCTCATTCTATGCTGTCGAGTATCAGAGGGTTAGCCATGTTAGTCTGAATCTGCAAAAGCGGTGAGGAGTCCTGTGGCACCTTATAGACTAACTGAAGTGTTGGAGCATAAGCTTTCGTGGGCAAAGACCCATTTCGTCTTGACATGCATCTGACGAAGTGGGTCTTTGTCCACGAAAGCTTATGTTCCAACACTTCAGTTAGTCTATAACGTGCCACAGGACTTCTCGACGCTCATTCTATGCTGTAATGCAACCTTCTTCAGATTCACCATATAGGTCTTAGAAATAGCTTCCAATACTGGTATTTGAACTACTCAAGAGAACTTAGTGAATTCCCTCTTTGAAGATACACTTCAAATTGCATACAGAGCCATCGTATGATCCCTTGTTTTGGTTGCACATATAAAGGCCTGTCTCAAATGTGAGGCTGTCGCAATTGACTCCTTTACTTTTAGTCCATTTGCTGCTGCTTAAATTAAAGGCAAGAACCACAAACAAATTAGAGGCATAAGAAATCATTTTGTAACTGTGAATGTCTGTACAATTATTCTCACCCTTCTGCACGATTATGATTAATTTTGTACAAAGTATGCCTTGTAAGGTATCCTTTGAATACTCATAACCCGCTGATCATCATTGTCCTTGTGAATTGTGTGCTGCAACATGGAGTGTAAAGTTACAAGATTCTACTCTAAAACATTAGTGAGATGTTTTGAGATTAGAGAAGCCAGAACAAAGCAGTTGCTCAGAGACAAAAGGCAAATTGATGCCCTTATCCATGTGTCAAGAAAATCAAGTGAGCGCCAACTGGTCTTTTCCATCATTAGCTTCTCTGAGGTCTTGCTTATGCTGAAAAATTAGACCAACTGACCTCTGACTGACAAAGGAGGAGAATTTTTCAAACCCCATGGGGGAGAGTTATTTATCCCTTGGCCTCAATAGAACCTCTCAGTGATGTGGATGTAGATTTCATATATGTGAAAAAGCATCTAAACTATGGTACTGCTGTAGCACCAGAACTGAGTCATTAGAGAGGATTTGGTGTAGACATTCCCTGTCACTTTTCTCCCTTCCCCAACAATGCAGTTCTTTGTTGTTATTGGTTAATGTCTTGAGAAAAGTTAATATTTCTCCTCTCAGAAAGTCATGACAGGGCTTGTGGATGAGGGGGAAGAGGTAGGTGTTTTACACCTTGATTTCAGTAAAGTATTTGATACAGTCTAGCGTGACAGTATCATTAATAAACTAGGTAACCACAACCTAGTTGGGGCAATACTAAGGTGGGTGCATAACTGGTTGAATAACTGTTCCCAGAAACTAGTTATCAAAGGGTCATTAGAAGGGATTCTTCCACTCTACTTTGTGCTGAGTAGGCCTCAACTGAACTACTGTGTCCCGTTCTGGGCACCAAGTTTCAGGAAAGAGGTGGACAAATTGGAGATGATCCAGAGAAGGTCAACAAAAATGAGTGAGGCCTGGTCTACTCTAGGGGATACATTCACATTAAGGGTACATCTAAACTACATGCCTCTGTCATCAGAGGCATGTCGATTTGTTGTTTTGGCAAAGGCAAGTGAAGCCGCGATTTAAATGATCGCGGCTTCATTTATATTTACATGGCTGCCGCGCTGAGCCGACAAACAGCTGATCAGCTGTTTGTCGGCTCAGCGCGGCAGCCATGTAAATATAAATGAAGCCGCGATCATTTAAATCGCGGCTTCATTTGCCTTTGCTGATCTGTCTAATCTACATGGCTCTGCTT